GAAAAGTGGCTAGGCCATCAATCTTCCTCCAGGAGTTAAATTGAGCATTTGTTTTTTGTTTTTTTTATTCTACCTCCACCATTCAGCCTGGGCTGAGGTTAAATTTTCCTCCCTCACCCAACTGCTGTGTGGTGCATCTTATAAGCTCATGGTGCCATTTCCCCTTGAGAATGTAGCTTCACCAGATATAGAAACTATCTCTGGCTCACTGTTCTCATGTTGGGGAAAACATATGTCTCACTATTTCCAGTTTGAGATGAATATGTCCTCTGCAATCATAAATATAGCTTTCTCCAAAATACAGAAGAATTTCTAGCAGCACCAATTCCCATTGGGAATTATTACAAATAAGACTCTCTTAATACTTTTCACACTGCTTACTATTGCATATATGTGTTATAGTTTCTTTGCATAGGACATGTGTAAATATGTATATATTTTTTGTGTATAACTTAGTGGCATAAACTCTGAGAACAAAATATGTTTGTCATGCCTTTTTTTCATCAATTCCATTCAGTTAGTGAAATAATAATACCAATAAAGAGGAAAATACAAATGAGAGAATATTATGTCTGTAGTTTTCCTGTATATTCTGATTTGTCCATCACTACAGTTGCATTGCCTTTGTTAGCTGGTAGTATCATGATGCTTTCATTCCTCTATAGGGTTCTGATTTGCCAGCCTCTCCAGTTTTGTAATGTTTGATTTGGGTACCTTAGATTTCTCCAGTGTCTGTCTCACTTTCCATCTTAGTTCATCCGCCTGAATCGGAGGGAATTTCAAGGTTATTTCCTCGATTTGAGGAATGATGTATAAGTATGGTATCTGCCTGATGGCTGTAGCAAAGTTGAGACCCTTATTTAGAACTGACTCCTACGAGGCACTCAGCTGGTGTTGACTGATGCCGATTATTGCCTTCACTGGTGGGTGATGGACCTTGTATGTCACCTTCTGATCTTTCAATCTACTTAATTTTTATACTTGTGGGGCCTTGACTACATCGAATTCAATGCAGTCATGGGAGAATATTAATTTCTTCCATAGCTCACCCATTAATTGATGATATTTCAAACATGACATAATATATGTACCCATTAAATTGTTTTAAAAAAAAGAAAAATCACCTACTTACAAATCACTAGCAATGGAAACTTTTGTTCTTTCAGATGAATATACGTTTGGTCCAGTTTACAAAGTATTATGGTTTTATAAACAAACAAGCAGAGTACCATAAATTCAGACAAATTAATAACAATTTGAAACTAATATAAAGTTTAGAAAGTTATTTTGATAGAGAAATTTAAAAACTGTAGTACACTTGTGCATCAAAGAAATTCTGATAATAATTTTCAAATATTTAATTTTTAGAATTCTTCAATATTTCCTCAAGTTTTTGACATAAAATCCAAGATTTAAATTCTTAAAAAAAAAAAAAAAAAAAAAAAAAAAATCAAACTTTTATTTAAGCAATTGCTAAAACAAAAGTTAGTGTCCTACAATGATTACACAAGACAGAAATTTAAAAAAAAGTTTTGGAAAGGTCATTTGTTTCTTGGATGTAGTTTTTGCTTTAGGTTACTTGAGTCCATAATCAAAGTGACAAAGAAATTCTCAGGTGACAGCTATTTAAAAATCAACAAAATGATTTCTTTTCAGAAAAAAAACAGTGAATTAATATAATTGTCAAAATCAAAGTTTGAAATAATAAAAAAGATTTCAACAGAGAAATGTGGAGAGTATTTTTTGTACATTGTAGGATTGGTAAATGAAATCAAGGAAAAAAAAATTTTTACTGGAAAAAGTACAGTAGAGGAAAAAAGAAAATTTATAAAATGAAATAAAAAAAAAAGAAAAATTAAAAATACATCAACATAGGACAAAGCTTGAAATTCAAGCAATTTAATAAAATTTGCTGAATTAAGAAGTATAAAAGTGAAAGTCTTTTGTAGAGAAACCCTTTTTATTTTTCATCTGGCTTTGATATTCTCAGGACTTAATAAATATTAATATGAATTAGATAGCTTGACTGAATGAAATAAAAAAACAAAAAATCAGTGCAGAGATAGAGGACAAGAGATGGAGAGAGGTAGAAACTGATGGAGAGGAAGGATGAGAGGGAGAGGATGAGAGAGAGAGAGTGGACAAGAGAGAGAGGGAGGATGAGAGAGAGAGAGAGAGTGGACAAGAGAGAGAGAGAGAGGAGAGAGAGAGAGAGAGTGGACGAGAGAGAGAGAGGACGAGAGGGTGGAGAGAGAGAGGAGAGAGAGAGAGAGAGGAGAGAGAGAGAGAGTGGATAAGAGAGAGAGAGAGAGAGAGAGGTGGAGGAGAGAGAGAGAGTGGACAAGAGAGAGAGAGAGAGGACAAGAGAGAGAGAGAGGGACAAGAGAGAGAGAGAGACAAGAGAGAGAGAGAGAGAGAGAAGAGAGAGAGAGAGAGAGAGAGGGACAAGAGAGAGAGAGAGAGACAAGAGAGAGGATGAGAGAGTGGACAAGAGAGAGAGAGTGGACAGAGAGAGAGAGAGTGGACAGAGAGAGATGAGAGAGTGGACAAGAGAGAGGATGAGAGAGTGGACAAGAGAGAGAGAGAGTGGACAAGAGAGAGAGAGGATGAGAGAGTGGACAAGAGAGAGAGGGATGAGAGAGTGGACATGAGAGAGATGGATGAGAGGACAACACAAGAAAGAGAAAGAGAGATGAGAATGATAAAAGAATGACTAAATGGAGAGAGAGAGAGAGAAGGTAACAATGAGACAGCCCAAACCATTTTTCCTGGCTCATTCTGTTATTTAAATGAGATAAATGTAAACAAATTAAAAGACTAACCTGTACAATGTCAAATGACACTGGACATTCATTATGGAAATGTGGCTGAAAGTTTATGGACTAGAGTGATTGATTGATTTGGTAATATTTCTTCATTCAATGATAAGAGAATATGTCTGGGATAAGCTCTAAGATTTCATTTTAAGTGATGCACTGATGAGCCTCATTACCATAATCACTGAAAATGAAAACTGATTTTTATAACTAGTGAACAAACTTATTCCCTATTAGAAGTTAGTCATAGACTTGCACTGAAATTGGCAAAATATGTTAAAAAGAATTCTGTGATAGAAGAGTAGACTAGAAACTTCTATGATTTATTGATTTCTTAATACTGAATGTCAGAGTATTGAAAACTTGTAGGTCGTCTGTGGGTAAAGGTAGCAATTTTGGATTCTTTGGGGTAACAAGGTAAAATTTTGGATACTTGAATATCTTGTAAAATGGGAAAAATCTAAACATCCAAAAAAGAAAAAAAAAACGTTGAAATGTTACTTGAGATTAAATATTATTCCATGTACCAAAACCTATTCTTCAGCCTTCGCATTTCCCAAACTCGTAAGAAAACTTGACAAGCTTGAATTTGTGTCCTGTAACCAAAGGAACTTGTTACATATCAACACCATTTGGCATTTATATATCAGTATATGTGGAATAACAAAAAGGCTTTATTTCAGAACATAAAGCAAATTAAATGATGAAGGCTTAGAAAAATAAAATACATACTCTTTGGCTTCTGTAAAAATGGTAAAGGGATTGTTATATTGCATAGTATATGCAAATTTTTCTACTTTTGATATGAACTCTAAATTGAAAGTTGAAGAATAAAATTGCTTTCAATATTGTGACTGAAGTAACAAGATGAAAATCTAAACAAAATAATGAATGTAACTGAGAAAAACATCTTACCTAAAAATCTTTGCTATCCAACAAGGATTCATTTACTCATTTATTAATAGAATTTTACATTACAACAGTCTTAAAAAATATTTTGCTAAGATTTTGCAACTCAAAGTTAGTTGTAAGAAAGCAAGAAGTTATTTGTTAGAATGATTTTAACATTATCAAAAGCTTTCACTTCCAAAACTTGGAGACAGATATCTTGTCAAAATGCCTTGAGGAGACAAAAAAAGAATTTCCGTTTTTGATGTTTTTACAAATTGATATAAAATTCTTAATTTGCAATTTTATAACACCATAAAAAAATATTTCTCCATTGAAAATAAATCTTATCTAAAAATGATGTTTCTTTGTTAATTTTACTTTTTTTTCTCTTGGCAGATTATTATTATCTATTTTAATAAAGGGAGATAACTTTACTAACCTGGAAGTGTTGTATACTGACTGAGAATGTTTGCAATGATCTCTACAAAAATATTGATTGAGTTAATTACTTTTTACTTAAAATAATGTTAAAGTATTAGTAAATCATACAAATTTCATGAGTTAAAATCAATGAAAATAACTTGGGAATTATTTTAGAACTAAAAATTTTATTTTTATGTCAAACCTTTATCAGTTTTGATATATTTTTTGAAAGAGTCAAATTGAGAATGTGTTTCTTGTCTGTTTATATTTAATTATATCTTGGCAGTTCAAATAAAACTCATCACTCATTTTTGGAGTGCCAAACTTTTGTGATATAAAATGTAGAGAGGTACAACATCTAGAGTACTCGGAGGACCCAGTTATATTTTCACTTTTCAATAAGGTTGTATAAATGTCCTAAAAATAGATTTGCACAACATTATTTTATGAGAGATATTCTGCATTTAGACAATACATTTTTGTTCCTTCACAATATTTGATCACTTGAAAGAGAGAATAAAAAATAAACTATCAAATATTCCGAGATGAAATCTTCCATTAATTAGTTGGATTAATATTCTTGTCTATATTTCTCTCTTCTATTGTGTTTTCTGTTTTATTTTATTTTAGGTGAATATTGTATTAGCAATCTCTGAAAGTCACCAAAATTTATAAATATTTCCACACAGTGGATTTTTTTAAATGCCAATCCAATCATTTAATTAATGAGTAAAAAGCCTTATGTCATTAAAAGAAATGAGTGATATAAAACTGGGATACTGATTACATGAGCTAAAATATTTAAGAAAAATATAAATGAAAATTGCTTTCCCATTCTTTCAAGAGGATAATGAAATTAGAGATTAGGGTTCAATTTTTACAATTGTCTTGTGGTAAAATGAAGTAACTATTGTGAATATCCTTAAGATAAATGTTGTAGGTGTGTAGAGAGAGAGAGGGAGAACTGGAGGGGAGAGACAAAGGAGAAAATAGCAGGAGAGAGAGAGGAGTTGGTGGAAGAGAGAGAGGAAATGGCAGTTGGTGGAAGAGAGAGAGAGGAGAAACTGCAGTTGGCGGAAGAGAGAGAGAGGGGGAAACGACAGTTGGTATAAGAGAGAGAGAGGGGGAAAACGGCAGTTGGGTGGAAGAGAGAGAGAGGGGGGAAACGGCAGTTGGGTGGAAGAGAGAGAGAGGGGAAACGGCAGTTGGGTGGAAGAGAGAGAGAGAGAGTTGGGGGAAGAAGAGAGCAGTTGGGTTGGGTGAAGAAGAGAGAGAGGGAAACGGCAGTTGGGTGGAAGAGAGAGAGAGAGGAAACGGCAGTTGGGTGGAAGAGAGAGAGAGTAACTCAATGCGCATGGAGAATACATATATTTTTAAATGTGTGGGTGTTGGAATATCAGATTTTTAAGATCAAACAATTCACAAATAAAACTTCAAAAGTAAACATTTTATTTTGTTTTTCTTAAGATCAATTTTAAACAAATGTAATTTTTTTCTCTTTACAGAAAAAAGTAAAATATTGGCCTAATCTTTGAAAGAACATTTTCCTTTCATACAAGAGGGAAATAGGAAATAGATAAGAAGAAAGATCATTTTACCCAGAAGAGACAAACTACAAGTGCAAGGATTATTTAGGCTTCTTCAAATATTGGGAGCTTATAAAAGTCTATGAATAGAGGCCAGTGGTTTGGGTGGGGCATTGCCAAATTGAAGAACAAGAGTCTAACTATTGAATAAGAGAACAAAACTCTGCAAGAATTGCAAACTAATACAATAGTTCATCCCAAAAGAATTCAAGAAACTTGCCTTGAAAATAGGAGATCGGCTAAAGAATGAATCTATTTGCATTGAATAAATGTAGAAATAAGGAACTTGCCTATTTTTAAGAAAAGCATTCATTTAAATTTATGACATGTCCCCCATGAACATGTCCAATACTTCATAACTGTGTCTTTATAAAAATTTCTATATATCTAATAAGATCAAAATGTGCAGCCTTATTTAATGAATACAAATAATAGAATAAGCTAACAGTTGGTTTTAAATGATTTTCTTAATGACAGCATCATTTGCTGCCAATAAATTAGTCTAAATTAATTCAACTTCTGTCCTTGGCATCAGTTGATGACAGAAATGGAACTACAATCTGCAATTAATTGATTGAGAGAGAATGAATTCAGTATTAGCTCCAAAAACAAAGAAATTCTTTCATACTTTAAATGTGCCAGTGTTTTTGTGAGTTTTGTCAAATGAAACAAGCATTTCTTTGTCATGCTGAGAACATTTTGAGCCATTTTTTCTTTTATTACATCATTTCAAAAAATGGATTCTTTAATTAGCTTGTTGATGTGGAACTTAATGTACAAATTCTAAGTTGTCTTCTAATTTTAAAGGTCTTTATATTCAAGTACATTTACTTTCTTGAGTATTATATAGACTTTTTAAAATGAATAGATATTTTATGTCTATTAAATTTTTTTTTTCTAGTATGTGAATAATATATCACAAATGTGGCAGTTGTTGATGCATAAAATAGTCTAAATTCATATTACCTTTTGACTAACTGTGTTCTACTGTATTGGGTTTAGCTTTCAAACAAAAATAAATAATAACACTTAAAACAATCTACTTGTTAGTATACACTTTATTTTTTTTCTTTTACCCCTGATGATGACCCCTGTGAGTTGAAAGCTTGAACAATTTATGGTTAGCATACCACAATCTGGATTCACCCAGAACAGGATATAATTTTCAGAAAAATTCAATACCTCTACCCTGTACCTGTAACGGCATTCACCCGGGGTAGGTTGAGCCGGCTCCAATATTGGAGTTTCATGGGAATTTGGAATCCACAAGCGGTCCCCAACCCACATGTATAGCACATGAGATTTGATTATAGTGGTGAAGGTTTCGTGCAGGACCAGCCACACTTTTTGAAGGGCTGATTACAGAGACCTGGTGCACTACGTGCCACAAGGTCCCCAAACAGCTCTCCGCAGGTTTTGAATTCAGAGTTTTTCCTTCTCCTAGACCAGTCTGTCCTGCTATTTACCCATAGCTGGAGGGAGAAGAAGAGGATTCACACCTTTCCCAAGGGTATTAGCATGTAAGTGAATGTAATGGATTTGAATGGAATTTGAACTCGGCTCTCCGATTCCTCAATCCAAGCCACTATCCATTACTCTACCGTGCCTCCTCAATTCAGAGTTGTCCTTCTCCTAGACCAGTTGCCATCCAAGGCTATAGAACCCAGTCTGTCCTGCTATTTACCCATAGCTGGAGGGGGAAGAAGAGGATTCACACCTTTCCCAAGGGTATTAGCACGTAAGTGAATGTAATGGATTTGACTGGAATTTGAACTCGGCTCTCCGATTCCTCAATCCAAGCCGCTATCCATTACTCCACCATACCTCCTCAAAAATTCAATACTTTAATGTTCATTAAGAAATAGGATAAAAAGCCATTGTCTTGTTAACTTAATGGTCCTGTTTATATCTGTGCTTATTGCATTTATCTTAGAAAAGAAAATTGACACATGTTTAGGATTTATAATCATCAAATACATCTGGAAGTATCCAGTATAGAATGTACAAATAATTTTGTACATACATACAAACCGGTATAATTTTATTATATTTGCTATTTCTGAAAGCTGAAGAAATACTGAATTGTGCAGGTTTACAAATATTAAGCAATTGAGATGATAAAACATGTGTTTTCTATTGAATAAGAGTGTTTCAAATTAAGTATTATTTATAGCTGCCTTTTCCTTGAATTATCTTCTAAAAGAATTCAAGGTTTATTCTAGTTCAAGTAAAATTAAGATGTTTATGGTTAAATAAAAGAATTGAGAACATACAGAAATTGTAAAATGATGGCCTGATTAATGACAAAAGCAGTGATAAATGCAAGATTCTCATTTTAGATAATGACTGCTTTTCTTTGTAGATGTATTGATCTCTAATCTTAAAAGCTTAGATGATTGGGCGAGAATTTCATTGTTGCTTATGTGACTTCATTTTCTTTTTATTATGGAGGATTTATTTATAAACACACATTCCTGGATGAACATCTGTTATCTCTCTGTCTCTGCAATAATCATTTCCTGATAGAAAAGAAATCATAACTCATTACAATTATATATTATTGTTGGTGAAAGAGCTGATAATCTCCAAGACTTTTTCTAAAGAACAAATATCATCTCAGCATAAAGCCTGTCTCATATATATTGCACAAAAGATGTCTCATCATTTCCTTTGAGTGTCTGTAAGAAAGCATTCAAAGAGCTTTGTTATACACTACCACGAGATAAGCAAGGGTCATGACTAACAATTATTAGTCTATACAACCAGTGGCAAGGATATTTTCTAATTTTATGGACAATAACCAGCAAGGAAAAAAAAGGAATTGTGATTATTTTAATGAATGAATGTATCTTATCAATGTACAGATATACACATTATTTTATTTAAAGGATTTTTACCAAGCAAGGCAATAAAGCCACTGAGATGCAAGGGGTTTGGGTGTAGAAGAGTTGAGAGCAAGAACAGAGGAAGAGTAATCAGGAGAACAGCAGATAGTGATTGACATTGCATATAAACTTTTTCAGATTAAAGTTGCCTAAAAGCAGGGGGCCAGAAGAGAGTTCCACAAGTGAAAAGTGTGAGAAAAGAAACTGTTAGTTTAGAATTTATGGTTACATCTCGCCAACTCAACTCTAAATTGATGAGACCTCATTGCCAGTGTAGCACTTAAATTTAACGAGTATAGGGACTGTAGTAAAGAGCTTATTTGAAAAATTATCATCAAAGTATTTATAGAAAAAACACAGGGAGGCCACAAGTTTAATCTTTTGGGTGTTCAAATTTTGTAGCCTTGTGCCAGACTATAATCAACTTTGATTCAATATCTTCCCAAGCAAAATCTTGGCTTTTAGAAGCTTATTACTTAACAAAGGGGGTTCTTGCCACTTGGAGGCATTTTGGGAAAACAATCTTTCTGCACATCCACATCAGTTACATCATTAAAATTCTAATTCTCCATGTATAATATGCATTTGTGTCTATTACCATAATTCCCCATGTATGATATGCATTTTTCTATTACCATAATTCCCCATGTATAATACGCACGCATTTTTTCTAAAAAATAAGCAAAATCAGTGGGGCGTATTATGTGCAGCTACAAAAAAATCTTTAAAAAATTGCCATAAAATAAGAATTATCATAAAACTAAATTAGAAAAATATTATTCTGTGTTTAAAACCATTTTTTTTTAAATAAGAGTAGAAAACACTGGATGTAATGAAATTGGAGGGGTACAATTTATAGAGTTTGATTACCAAACAAGGGGTGCATATTATGCGTGAGTAGAAGCATTTTCCCACACTTTCAGCACAATTTTAAGTGTGAGTATTATGGACGGAGGTGCATTATACATGGGAAATTACAGTAATTTATAATAATCACTAGAAAGTTTCCTGGCAAACTTTGATAATAAAGTGCCAAAAATGCTTTTAATTAAATCATTTTAAACACATGTTCTTACAAATCTTGAAGAGAAATTAGATTCTTTCTATATCTTTAGAGATGATGCCTTACTGGTGTTAAGGGGAAAAATTAGCCAATCAGAATAATGAAGGAAGTTGTCAGAAAAAAAGAACAATGACAAAAAAGCAAATTCTTATCCTGATTTGTGTACAATAAATTCACAAAGAGAACCAATCATTTCTCTATCATTCACTGTATCATGCCAAAATGTATTAGGTTGGTGCATAATTATCAGGCGTTTTTATAGGCGAGTTATTTGTTAATAAAAATTGCTGTTTTTGTTTACTTTTTTTAATAAAAATATTTTATTTTCAGGTTATAAAAATGAAGTAGGTGGTGACTACATTCTGGAATAATCATTTAAAAATGTTATTTTAAATTGTTATATTTCTTTTTTCATAATAAATATTGTTCAAAAAACGCCTGATAATTATGCACCAAAGCAATATAAAGCTGATCAAGCCATTTTCTAAATTGAAAAACTGTGACTTCAAAATGTTTTTAACAAAGAAATAGTTGTTTGGATCTACACAGTGATATGAAATTTCCAAAGCTTTGTATCAAATGGAAACAGTTTACTATTATAATGTAAGTAAATAGGAGGTTAGTTGACTTTAATTGGGCTTCTCTAAGTCAACTGCTGATCATGCACCGTGGAATAATCATTTAAAAATGTTATTGTTGAATTGTTATTTTTCTTTTTTCATAATAAATATTGTTTTAAAAATGCCTGATAATTACGCACCAACCCAATAGTTAAAACTCATAAAATCCTCAATTTTTCAAAGTTGATGCTTGCTAATAGGA